GCATAGTGTCAAGTCAGTTCTGACTTATGGTGACCCTTTTCAGGGCTTTCTAAGCAGAAAGTGCTCAGAAGTGCCTTACCATTGGTTTCTACTGGGGGCATTGGACTCCCAAATTTCAGCTCTGCAGCCAGATCCTTAGGGTCACTATAAGTCAGTTCTGACTTAATGACACACAACACAACAAATGAATGCTCCTATTAGTTATGGATACTGCTGGGCAGTATTTAAATAAAATTGAGGTGGCCATTTGTGAAATAAAACAAGAAAATACTAGAAGGAAGAAAACAAATTGAGGAGGCATTGTATGAGCCTCCTCCTCAAGTGCATTTATACAGCTCAGTCACAGGAGATTGATACCAGTTTGATATCATATTAACTCAAAAATGAAGCTGGAAGTAAGTAGTTATACTGAGGAACCTGGAAATGTTACTTTTAAAAGACATTTTAGGGAATGTTTGAAGCATTTTGACAGGAATGTTTACATTTTATATCATTCTGTTGACAGACCTAAGTGGCAAGGGAAGTATTTCTTTGGTTTTGTCCTTTCTATTTTTACCAGTTTCCAATATGCAAGATCAGAATCAGCCACTAGAAGAAATAAAGTATTTCTGTGTATTTTCCTGACAGTAACATCTTGGTGCCCAAAACTATGAGTACCGCACCCTAATCTTCTAAGTTCTGTTACTGCCATGCCTTCATCCTTTTGAATATCCATATTTTCAATAGGTTCCTGTGCATTTAGGGCTAAACCATAGAAGCCTCTGTGCTACAAGGTCAGAAGACCAAGCAATCGTAAGATCGAATCCAGGTGACGGAGTGAGCGCCCGTCACTTGTCCCAGCTCCCGCCAACCTAGCGGTTCGAAAGCATGCAAATGCGAGTAGATTAATAGGGACCACCTTGGTGGGAAGGTAACAGCGTTCCGTGTCTAAGTCGCACTGGCCATGTGACCACAGAAGATTGTCTTCAGACAAAACGCTGACTCTATGGCTCGGAAACGGGGATGAGCACCGCCCCCCAGAGTCAAACACGACTTGACAAAAAATGTTAAAAGGAACCTTTA